GCAAGGATCTCCCTGCCCTGAGAACTTTTCGGCATGATAGTCGCGGAACTGGGCGACTACTGTAGCCTGAGTAAGAGTCGGATGATCAGGTTCCCTACGGGGCGGCATCTGAACATTGAGAAAGTTCAAAATTATTGAACACGTGATAATATTCTGACTGATTACTAAGGCACACAGATCTCTTGACGAGTTGCCAAAAATGGCCGATAATAACTGACGTGAAACCTGAGGAACTCTAGAGTCATCTCGAAAGATACTAAATTCTAGAGTCATGTCTGAATATACTGAATTCTAGAGTTAAACCTGAACTCTAAAGTCTGAATCTGATTCGAGCATCTTAACTAAGTCTGATTACTGATTTCTGAGCATAGACAAATTAATATGTTTATAACTGAAAAACTGAATCAGCACTTACCTGGAGTCCGCGAGGCGTGAGCGTGACGGTTCAGGTTTTTCTGAAAATTACTGACTGAAAAACTTTTCAGAGACGCAGAAACGTGCCTTGATACCAATTGTAACACCCCGACTTTTTAATAAAATCAGAGTACGCGATTTTTCGCAAGTTTCTGAATAAATACGTAAAATACTTATTTTGCGAAAACTGATTCGGGATGCAACCGTGAAAAACTTGATTTTTCTGAAAACCGTTAAAATTTTAAACTGGTAAATAAAACGGTTATAACGTCTTATCCGACTAACGTCGAAACCAAAAACTGAAAATAAGTACTGAAAGTTTTAGTGGAAATAACTGCGTGGCAAAACATATATATATAAATCACAAATATCCTGAACAGCCCGCCCGCTCACTCCTCGTCCCCGACCCTGCAACCTGAAAAACATGAAATGTGTGGGGGCGTGAGCACTAAAACACTTGTGCTCCGCAGAAACTCATACTAATGTAAACATTGTAAATAATAACAATATCATGATCTAAGCATATATAACTGAACTGAAACTGAAACTGAAACAGATATCTGATACCGGTCTGATCTCGTGACATAAGTCACGTAACTGATAACTGCATATCTGTCGGCACAAACTAATCAGCAATCTGCCGGCACAAACTAATACCGGACCATGTGCACACTCTAGTGGTTAGATTAGGCCACTAGAACCCAGAATGGACCGGCGACCATTCCGAGCGGATATTGAATATACATACCTCGAACATGGTAGCGTAATTATAAACAATGTAGTACTTAGTCTGAGTCCCCACCTGAACTGCTGAAACTGAACGGTAGTGCTGATGCCTGATCAAACTGAAAATAATATAAACAATTACTATTGACTATGCTCAGACTGATAATTTAACTGTTCAATTATGTTAAGATGCTCTACTGAACCTGACATGATATTCGGACTTAATCAGTATAACTGAAACCGGTTACGTACGAAACTGAACTGATATTAATTAACTGAACTGCACTTGACCCGGAAATTTAACTGAAAATGATACTGAAATTGAGAACCGGGACTAAAACTGACAAGTACTGACTGAACCGGTCCAGCCGGTCTGAACTGGTCTGGACCGGACTGCCGGTCCGCTGAACCGGGCAGTCGGGCTGACTTGGCCGGCA